ACAGCGAATTGCGAGACGCCCATGTCAGGCTGTATCAACTATTATGCTGGTCCAGTAAAATCTAGTAGCGAGCTTTATATTTCCGAGGGGATGAGGAACTATAAGCTCTTGCATAGGTCTGACCTATGTGTTTCCTCAAGGGAAAAGGAACGGCAAAAGCAACGGAAATTGAGCACGCAAATGTATGGAGTATATGCATTGAAACGATCCTTTTCCCTTGAGGAAACACAATCACCTCATGAAGATTGTGTTTCCTCAAGGGAAAAAGGAACGGCAAAAGCGACGGAAATGTAGCACGGAAATCAACAATCAATATTATTCCTTCTGCTGCTATCAAAATCTTAGTATAGGAATACTACAATGAAAGTTTGGTCTGAGAACTTTGAACGGGAGTATAGGGCAAAAAGACGCTATCATTTAGATCGAGCTGTCCGTCTTGAAGGGGGTTATAAAGAAGTTCCTGTGTAAAACAGGAATCACTGCGCGATTTGAATCTTCCAATCAAAATATGAATGTTCAAACACGAGAACAAGCTCTAAAGGTTCCAAAGAGTCCAAATAGCGCAAAACCTTTGCACCTTTGTTAGACCTGATACACTTCTTTACAATTCTCAAAATTTGTTGGTTCACCCACCGCAGCTCATTTTCTCTCTAGGATAGGCAAGAATCCTGATCTCGTATTTATAGCACCGGTTTGTACAAGGGGTTCCCTGGATCCTTCTCCGAGGCGAGGAATGCCGAGATCTGGAATCGGAAGGCAAGTAAGAAAAACATCGGAGAAAGGTCCTTGGGGATCAAGGAAACGATGACAGATGAAACTTGGAGACAGATCGCTAATGCGTCGGACAGGGAGGGAGGTTCAGCGAGCGTCCGGCCCATCGTGGATAGAACGTTCGACTACGAGGGTTTGATCTAATGACTAAGCTGTGAGCTGTGACTCTCTACGCGCAATAAGAAGCTTCAGAAACATTTCGAACTTGAGCTGAAGAAATGGCGCATGTAAGGATGGTTTTTCCAGATAGAACAAATAATGGTTAGAACGTAACTACACACAGAACATTGCGATGGGACCTGTTATGGGTTAGTCGTTCAGCGCGGCATCTCACCTCCCCTCCACGTTGACCTCATCGATTCCCTAATAAAGCAATGGTCCGACTCGATAAGACTAAGTAGATAGAACGGAAATGTAGCACAAATGAATCACAAACATTCACAAATGAAATAAAAAAGTAAACTACAGATTGAAAAAATGAATGGAGAATCAGCCGAAATGCAAACCAGCTGTTTAAAGGAGGATGGGATTCTGGGCAGGACCCACAGCCGCAAGGTGGTTGCAGGTGGTTTGATTGGAGCGCGGATTTTCAGGAAAGTGGGGTGTTTTAAAGGGCCATAACTTCCTTAATAGCGGACCTGTGGGAAGGAAAGAACGCAGTCGTATAGAGAAAGATTTGAGCTTTCCAAAACATACTGACATGTTCATAAAGGTCGCCAAATTCATAGAGAAATTTGCGTTGGGGAGTTTTTGGGGAGTTTTTTGGATAGTTTGCAGCGCGAGTTTTACAGGTTTGAACCAAGATATTTCCCTTGAACCTCAATAGTTTGGGAATCTGAAACTACTGTCGAGTTCTAGAAGATTTCCTCTTTCCAAAAAACTATTAGACAACCAAAAGAGTTCGTGCGGTTTTTTTGTTTACTTTTATGAAGTATATTCAGTAAACTGGATCTAGTGGTAGGGTAACTTTGAATACATGTTAAGACATATGTCAAGGAGTGTCATTCAGTGTATTTGTTAATTTAGATTACTTTCAATTAAGGCGAACAGAAAAAAGTTGTGGTTTTCCACCAGGACAATGCTAGACCACACACTGCAAGAATCACTCAGGAAACAATAGCGCGACTAGGATGGGAAATTCTACCTCACCCTCCGTACTCGCCAGACCTTGCTCCAAGTGACTATCATCTGTTTTTGGCCTTGGACAACCACATGAGGAATCGGCGATTTGAAAATGAAGTGGCTTTGGACAACGAACTAAAACATTTCTTTGATTCCCAGAAGCAAGATTTTTACAAAAATGGAATATATGTTCTTGTGTCTAAATGGGAAAGTGTATTACTTGCTGAGGGGAGGGCTATTTTTTTATTTTACGCCGGATGAAATCAAGTTCAGGCGCGTTTCTTTAATGTTTAAATAATGTCGCTGACCCTTTCGGAAACGCACGTACTTTTTTGGTTGCTAATATTAAACGTTGAAGCTCCTGGGAGTCATGAAATAATTGCGTTGGGGATTATTTGGGGAACACTCCGAACTGTTCGAAAGTCCGTTTTCTGTGTACGGTTTTCAAGCGAGCGTGTTCGAATAGCCAGAAATACATGTAGAACGTATCCTGTGGTGGAGCAGGAGCAGGATGACGAGGATGGGAATGTGGACAAATCTCGTCGCAAGGACGCAATTCTGTTATCAATGTATAACTTGCAAAAATATTGTCCCTTAATCGAAACAGGCACTCTGTCCGAAACAAGAATACATTTCTACAACTTCTATGATTCTATTGCTGAAAAAGTACGTGCACTCGACGAATGGCCGAACGACCTCCGCAAGGACAAGAACAGCATAAGATTTTATCAAGCACTCCTCAACAATAGCGATGCATTGAAGATCCCCTTGTTGTCCGTCAGGTGAACTTTCTCATATCCTTATTGCAGCTGGAGGGCATTGACTGTCTGATTTTCAGGCCATAAAATGCGTCCTCGTAATCCCCGCAAGTAACGCCGATCCAGAGCGCAGCTTCTCAGCAGCCACTAGGCTAACACAAAGCGATCGAAACAGCTTGGGAACCAAGTCCATAGATGCTCTGATGAGGTGGGTGCCGTTGTCTCGACAGAAAATCAGTGAACATTATCTTCTTACAGAGATACCTTTTCATCTCCTTACAACTTAGATTTTGTAGAGTCCAACGTGATGGTCCGAGTCTCCTCACTGTAAGACCTAAAAACCTCGCAAAACAATGGTTAAACCCGCTACCCGGCTTACAAGCTGGACGCCATAAGCCATCCAGCCTCGCAAGATCAGATAGTTTTATGAAGGAGGTGAAAGATGCCTTAGTGAAAGGTACTCCTTCTCTCTTCTATGCCTTCTTAATTAAATCTATATTAAATCCAGTTGATGGACGATCGCTTGTGGAACATTCTGTCACTCAGTACATGAAAGACAATCGCTTACGAGGCAGACGCGATGCCGAGGCGATAGTACAGTCGAGACGCGAATTAGAAGCATCAAAACGATGATCTTTTCTTGATGATCTTTTCTTCAGGAATTTTTTATGACAATATCCAGTGATGAATCTTTTATCCTGCAATAAATATACAACATCAGAATTGACAATTCTTTTTACATATCTCATCTTCTGGATTTCCATTCGCACAGAAGAGCCCAACGGTTGGCTAGTTGGCTGATCCTGAAATTTCGTTAGCTAAACTAATTTATATCATCGATTGACCTTTCTTTTTGGTGAAGTCAAAGTTATCCACGTATGCGAGTTCGTTGCTGCGCAAGCTCTGCCTCCCCTCGCAATTTTGCCACAACGGCACTATTCGGTACTGTCTGCCCCACTCTTTACGACCCCCCCCCCTTTTACAATGTCCGTTGAAGCGAGAAAAATCAACTATCAAAATAAATTTTTCTCAGCCCAATACGACCCCCCCTCCTGGCGGCCAAATATGACCCCCTGTTGGGGATTCCCCAACCAATGATGTGCCCTGATAGGTCATAAACGCCTAGTGTATCCATCACCTGTCACTTGAGCCTTTTGGATACGTTCCATTAGAGACGTGTATTTTTTGCACTCTCCACCCTTGCGCAATTCCTGCTCTTATTCGAGATCATTTGCTACTGATACGTAAGTAAGTCATGAGTCTGCTTCGAAGCCCAAGTCGGGAAAGCGTCGGTAGTGTCTCTAATGCACTCTATGGGAGGCCCAAAGTCACGTTGTACTGCAGAACACAGACTTCCCCAGAAAAAATAGAGGCTCAGGCTTAGATGGCATCAATATGCTCAGTGCTGACCGAGTTCGTGATTGTTGGCAGATGGTCTTGCACAAGAACGGAGAGTATGTGCAACCTTCACTAAATTTCATAGTTCTTTCTCGCGTCGCTAAGAAACTTTGGATAAAGTTCGCTGCCAAATTTCGGTGGACCAGATCAAGTATATATTGCACACGCGTCATTAAAAGGAGCGGTTCGGAAGTGGCTTCACATCGCATTTCACGATCTCATCGCGACCATCATCGAATTAAAAATGTTTGTATGGGGACCTTCAGGCCTGCGCGTACTTGTATCGTCGCAATGCGGCGAAGCGGTGGCTACAGACCTGGAATGGGGAGACGTGCAACAGAATCGTCCGGGGCAGCGCCCGCGGCACGCGGCGCGTCGCGCGGCGAATGACGCAGCAGCTCACGGACGTGCATTTGCTAGCCGATAGCTTTG